TACTGTCTCATTTTTTTGTAACATACCTATACATAGTACCCAAGTCCAATACAACACGCAATCGCATTTTCATCTGCGTGAAATTCAGTTGGAGAGAAAAGCACTACGCCAACTAAAACGCGATATAGTCTTAGAAAGAAACACGTAGTTGCTTTCCAAGTGAACAATAGTGATGGTACGATTCATGAAGGAATCGTTCTTTTTAACCGGTTCTCTTCAGTGAAGCGGTTTTCAAATCTAAGAAAATCGACGCATTATAAATATAAAAATATGTGACAAATTATTATGTAAAAACACACAGCAACCTTTTTTTTAATAAGTTCACCTACATCTGTTTCTGTAGACTGTCTGTAGCCCTGCAGCCGCATACCGTGATCCCTAGTATTTGTGCTGTTCCCCGGCCGCATGGCGGCTGTACAGTACTGTCACTGCCACCGACGCTCAGCGACCGACAAGTTACTGAGTTCGGCATGTTCGGTTGAAACGGTTACTAGGCAATTCTGGTGAGATTTATAAGATCCATAGGAGATGTTTACGATATAATATATTAACGTATTGTTACTTCTTATTTAAAATGCATATAATTATATTATTGGCCGCTGGTATCGCTGTTTTTTTCTTCATTAATTCATTTTGTTTGGCTGAAGTTTTGGAGTTGCATTCCCCTAACAATTTTTTTTTCCATTCGATATGTGCATTTTAGCAGTCGAATTTAATGAAGGCAAGACTTTTCAGGAACGCATGAGTTGCGGAAGAGCAGGACTGACTGTAGTATAATATATCCATAATTCACAAAAATGACTTTGAAGAAAGGGATTTGCTATATATATATATAGTTTAAAAACATATGAATAAAAATCATTGAAGCTTAAAAAAAAAAGGGACTATTCCAGGCAGAATGGACCACCGTGTAGGGGGTGTAGGGCAGGGGTGGCTGGGCTGGCACCTGTTCGCTGGCAGGGGGGAGTTTGTGGGGGTCCGTGGTCAGCATGGTCAGGTCGTCAATAATGGCCTGAAGATGCGTGATCTCCCCCAGCATGGCGATCTCTCCATTCTGACAAAAGCAGAAGAGGTCCTGGCTAGACAAGATACAATCCAGGCAATACTTTCCCCTGACACTCTTTGCATTGTTACTGTTTATTGCCATTTACTATTTGTTACTGTTGATCATGGGCTCCATGTCATTTTTACTATTCAAATCCGTGTTGTGGTACTGTACATCTTTGTGATTAATATTGTGATCGATCTATCTATCTATCTATCGATCGATCTATCTATCTATCCACCATCTTCCTATCCACCACCTTCCACCAAATTCCAAACCACAACCACTTGCTGATATTCTTCATTTACCATTTTTATAAACCTTCTGTTTTACATAAAAGGCAAGTATTCCTAAGTGATCATCTCCCTCCTCAGTTTCCCATAACACAGTCTGTCCCCCTGGCCTGGCACCCGCTGCCATTCTCACCACGACGGGCTGCAGGAAGCCGATGAAGGTGCAGAAGCGCCCCCTCTCCTCCACCAGGGCACGGCGCACTGCCTGCTTCTCCATCTCCTCCATCAGCAGGCACATGTCACTGACGTCCTGCATGGCACTGTCCAGCTGGGGCTGCAGGTCCCCCCGTCCTGCGTTGGGGGGGGGGGAGGTGGGGGCGGGGTGGGCAGGACGAGGGTGGACAGAAGGATGGGGGGCAGGAGCAGGGGATGTGAGAGAAGTGGGCAAGTCAAGGAGGTAGGAAGAAGGGGAAGAGGGTTTGGCATATGGGAGCAGGAAGTAAAACCCAAGTAGAATGATGGTGTAACATAGGGAGAGTAAGGGGCGGGGCATAGAGGAGAGGAAGGGGCGGGGCATAGAGGAGAGGAAGGGGCGGGGCATAGAGGAGAGGAAGGATGATTGACATCGATAAGCAGTGAATGAGACGCACCAACACATACACATGATGGAAAGGAGGAGCGAGGTGGGCTAGAGCCCAGCATCAATGTCAGGGCCCGAGGGAAGTCGCTAATTGCTAATCGCTAACCATACACAACAAACACAGGAGAGTGACGAAAGGTGGCCGATTCCCCGGCAGGAAGTGAGCGATGTCGACTGTGGAAATGCTGTCTGCAGGTGATCTAACCCTAATCAGAGAAGTGTGAGGAAGGATCAGGGGTAAAGCGAGCGAGACAGCAGCATGGCAGTAAGTGGGCCATCCACCGCGGGATCTGGTGAGCCACACATCAAGCAGCTTAATCGGGACGGCATGAATGTCCAGGGAATCGCAGGGTGCTAAAGGCCGCCGGATATAGGACGTTCCTCACATGAGCATGCGTTACCATTAATGACAGTATTTTTACCCAACTGCTGAAATATTTTTTCCAGTAGTTAGCGTGAATGATCATTTACGTATCAGCTATTACTTAAAAAATTAAAATAGTCTATAGAGGTTATTCTGAGTAATATGGCACAGCATCCAGTTGTGTTCCCTACTGATGGGGGACTGTGTTTCTGCATTCTGCCACACAGATGTGTGCACATACTCCCCCTAGTGGTGGACTGTCATGTACATTCTCTACTGTTACGTCACCCTGACAATCGGGCCTGGTCACAGATCATGTGACCTGAGAGTGACTGTTTCCCAGCCTGAGGAGTGTCGCTTACACTCTCGTGAAAACAAGGAGTGTGAAAGTGAAACGCAAAACAAATGTGCGAAGAGGATTAGCGATGGGGTCGTGGAGCGACAGACGTACCCATGAGCTCTACAAAGGGGGAATTAGCCAGACGGAGGGGCAGAAAAGACAGAGGGCAGTGTTGAGGGTGGGGGTGACATGGAGGGGGGGTTGGCAAAGGTGACAAAGAGAACGTGAGAAAGAAGAGCTCAGCGTTAGGATTAGTACAGAGAGATCAGTCCCTGGCCAAACACTTAAGGAACGTTAGTGCAAAACAGCTATTAAATCAAACCAAAACGACATCCAAGCAGAGAAAAGCCTCAGACTGGGTGAGGAAGTCACTGCCTTTGTGGGAGCCGGTCTTACTGTTAAGCAGGGAATTCTGGGATATCAGTCTGACGGTGAAAAACCTGACAATCTGTCCAAATAACTTTCTCTCTAATATATTACAGTCTTGTTACACAAATATATCAATGTTTGTCTTATAAGAAGACAATATTCAGGTGCATTCAAGGAAAGAATCCTTTGAGCAATATAACAGCATGAAGAGCATTTTATTAAATGGCCACTAGAGGGAACTATTGTATCACACCTGATTCTTCAAAGGAGGGGTTCAAAATAGGCTAGATTTGGACAGCAACACACCTTCATTAAGACTGAACATATGACACGAATTCAAAGACAGGAAATAAATTATGACATAAATTTTATAGATTTTTATTACAAAAAGCAATCTAGATTTTTGAAAATTATGCACACCACTAAGAACAAATGATTAAATATAGAAAAATAGCTGAAGAAAATTTTTTAAAATATATTTGCTTCAGCACAGCCCTGTCCTTTGATTTGAATAAAACTTTAGCTAAGAGCTACATCCATGGCCTACAGAACAATGAAAATCATTTTTCAACCTTAGAAGAAGCCAGTCATGGTGACCTTGGGAAATCAGCCTCTAAACCTGCAGCTCCATCGATCTAAATTCACTTCTCAATTGCATTGCAGAAGAATAACGGGATGACTCTGAAATCCTTTTGTTTTCTTCAGTGCCCCAAGGATACTGTGGTTTTTCCAAAAGGAAACCATATTTACTGAGGTTATTACAAACACAGGAATGGCATTCTTCTGACCCAACCCCACTATAAGCTAGACACATAACTCTAAGCTGTTGGGGCATCCCAATACAATATCAGTAGCTGGCCAGACAGATAGTTTCACCAAGAGTATTAGTACCTCTCTTGGCCTTCTTCTGGAGTTTCAAGGTGTCTGAGGACTTCTTCTTGATCTCATGCCGAGATCGCTTGTACTCTAAACAGAAGATGTGGGCATATCAGTGCAAAGAGAAACCAAATAAATGGACATTGAATGCTACAGATGGATTGGGGTGGGAGGGGCATTCATTCTCACACCTTTGGCGTGGTCCTTGTCCAGTTGGTTGGCAGTTTTCTTCCAATCTTCGATTCTCTCCTGAAGAGGTGTGATCAAGCTCTCCATCAAGGCACTGGGGAGAAAAGAGAAGCAGGCACTGAAAGGGATGGACACTGGTTGGTCACACCAATGAAAGGGATGGACACTGGTTGGTCACACCAATGAAAGGGATGGACACTGGTTGGTCACACTAATGAAAGGGATGGACACTGGTTGGTCACTGGAAGGATCAGTCAGGTATGATGTTCTGCTGGTCCTCCCACTAGGATTCTTTAAGTGGAATGTGCAATTAAAACTATATCAGAACATCTGGGATTCTACCGAAGTTCCAGAAATTTCTAATCCTGATCTGTAAGCGCACAGCTCAGAATAGTGTAACAGAGCTCTGAAAAAGCACGGGTACCATACAGTAAAATAGTATGCAGCATGGAAATAAAACCACTGAAATGTGAACAGATGACATTCTTATTTACTACACGAAACGCATGATTTTTTCCAGGCTAAGATCACCAAGTTTTATAAGATTCTTATTTTCCTATCAGAGTCTTTTTTTCCCTACTTATGTTCCCAGTGATGGATTGGCATCTTGTCCAGGGTGCACCCCAGCCTAGCACTCTATGCTGCCTGGTATAGGCTCCAGGGTTCCCGATAACCCTGAGTGGTTAGAATATGGATGGATGGATGGATGGATGAATTGAAAAATAAAAAATATATTAAAATTTTCCACCTAACTACAGAGCAGCATCATCCATCTACAAGCTGTAATGACTCTAGTGCTTTAGTCTATCTCACAGGAATGTAAACACACCAGAGGAACTCTGACCGACTATATCATTCTCTCTTTGGCTCCTTACTGGCCCCCTCTTTATGGAACTTTCCAGATAGAGAGCAGCCTTGGTTACATTTTAGCATCCCCGGGACCAATTGCAATGGAGGAAGTCAAAGACTCCACCCCCCGCATTTAGTTTTCCTTCATTGTCATCAAATTTATGGGGCACTCTTTCTCATTTTACACAAAATGATCATACTCGACACAGACAACCAGCCCAATTGACGGAGAATTACACAGAAATGTACAGGCAATTACACGGACACACAGAAACATGAGTGAGTGAACACATATAGCATGTAACTGCTAAACAGAGGTGGAGATTTCAGGTACAGAGAGTACAAATACAGACCAAGATTTTGTTTCAAACAAACAGTTGAGTTACTCTGTGACTGTGAGTCTTTATACTGAACTGGTTGGTTGAAACAAAATCTGGGTCTGGATTTGTACTCTCTGGACCTGAAATCTCCAGCTTTGCTGGTAAATAATGAAGGTGTTGGTACGATCCACCTCAAAGTCCCGGACAGTGACTGTGACCTGAGAGGGTTTGCATCATGGGGCCACTGAGCTCTCTGCCCCCATCTCTGCACCAACCACAGGGGCTACTGTCCATCACTCACATCACACAGTACAGTAGCTGCATGAAGGTCCTTTTAACAGAGGTGGGGGCTGGGGTAGGGGTGGGGGGACACCGGGATACTGGGGTCCTCATACTCAACGGTAATGTTATAAGCAGCCTGTGTGTTTTGTCTCAGTGCCGTTTAATCAAAAGGTCCAGTTCTATTTTAGTTATGATATTGTAGATATCGAACTACTGCTGTAAGGAAATAAAGAACACAAATACTTGAATCTTAAAGCTAAAAAGTGTGCTGGATTTACACGTGATCTAAGGACATACAAATTTCCAAGGAGTCCCACTGCTCTGGAATGTTCCAAACACATCCTCCCTCCCAGATCTCCTGGAGTTTTCCGCTGGCGCTGTAGACTGCAGTTGTAAAACAGGCACTTGACATGTCTTAAATTTGTCCTAAAACATTTGTACTTCCAAAGACACTAGAAAATGTGCTGTTTCGATTTGCCATCTTAAGTACTGATAATGCATAAGAGATGTTTGAGTTTTTTCCCAGTGAGCACAGTGTTAAGGGAACACGTGTCATCACGGTGAGGCTAAGACCACACGCACGTTCAAACCCAATGTCCGCTCTACTTCTCTGATCTAGTTCCTATTCTCATTGCACTCTATTCTGGGAACTCACTTTATTCATACGAATCCTATTTAGCAGGTAGAAAATCCTTACGGATAACAACTATCATTTATAACACTCAAACATTGTTTTTGTTAACCCCATAATATCAACCACAGTGAAGGCTGGACATCCATAAGATGAGGTCGACATGTATAGATACTGTCTGATCCTGATCAGTTTTCACTGGTTATATTTAAAGGCAGGTGTTGTCTTTTATTCAGTTATCTATCTAACGAAGGACAACATGGTAAACCTCTTTGATAAAAAAATTAAGTTTCTGCCAATCTGTGCCCCCAAAGTCAATTTCTGAAATTAATTAAAAATGCGTATCTCACAGACACAAAATTCGCTTAGGAATACTTTGTGTCACACCCCATTATATAGGCCTAGCATGCACCTTGTGATTTTCCTGAGATCAGGATGGGGGCGGGGGGGAATACAGCGTACTTGGTGAAGTGACGAAGCTTGGCCTCGATGCTACGGTGTCGCATGCACATCCGGGTCAGCGCTGATCCAATGTCCCTGGTGGCACCTGGGGAGTTGAAAACGAGAGAGACGTAAGGAAAACACGAGCAGGGAAATTTGCACTGGAATACGGTCCGACGGCACCCGCTTGAAACCTGCTATTCTCTGATCTGAACCTGCTGACCCACCCAAACACCCCCTGAGTCTGCCAGGCAGCGAAGTTGAAGAAATATTTATGGCTCAGTGAGCAGCGTTTGGATTAGATGTACACAGTCCTGCTTTCTCTCCAAATAAAGTTCCTGGACAGGACTGCAGAAGGGCCTTGTCTCTGTCTAACCTCGAAATGACTCCTATAAACAGACACCCTATTTAGGAAATGGTAAGAACTTAAGAAAACAAGTGCCTTTTTGGAGCAGGCAGTCGTTCTACTCAGACACAAAGAGGAAGCCTATTGTAGACTGCATTGTTTCATACAGGGAAGCTATTTGAGGTTGGACCAGCAGGGGGCAGTGTGAGGTCTGAACAGTTCCTGATTCATTTGAATCTACTTACACGTAAACCAGTAAGAAATCTACTTAGTAATGTGATTCGCTAAAAACAAAGGTATCTTGAAAAGCTTTAAATCATTTCTCTCCCAACACATTTCCACAATCTCACACATAACAGTATAATGTCATTAATGTTTATTTTCTAGTTTTCATACCAGAATTATTTACATTTCTTTCCCAAGGCATAGAAATAAAAGTATGATTTATAAGAGTAAGACTATCATTATAAAAATTCACAAGTTTCATTACTGCTTTTTATCATGTGACACCCACCAGCTGGCCAATATTCCTCTCTTCATGTTATAACTAATCAGGACATGCACCAATGAGAGCATTGTGCTGTAGATTCACTGTTTAAGATTCTTTCAGCCATGTGCGTGTACATTCTGGGGGACTTAACTATATGGCTACCTATAAGCCTGATGAAAACATGCTTTAGGAATAAAAATCTGTATAGCAGCATGTAAGTAAATACACACCACAGGCGTGGCACACACATGTCGACCTCATCACCTTGGCCTATTAGACACGCCTCCTGTACGTGTCAAATGCACATGCCGCACATACCCCCCCGGCTTCAGGCCAAACAGTCAAACATTGCCAGAAAGAGACAGGTGGTTTGGGGGCCCCGCACCCCTGACCCCGGGGTGTGTTTACTGTCCCCCTCCCCCGATATCCTCGCACTCATGCACACGCCCGGCTTATTGATTTTTCCCATGACACTCGGTGCGTAGGATGACCCGGGAAATTACTATTTTTACAGGGTAAAGAGGAGCGATAAAAGGATGAATAGGGGACAGAAGGGAGAAAATGTGAGGGAGAGAAAGAGAGGGGAAAGGTGAAAGTGGAGGAAGAGAGAAATGAATGTAGCAGAGAAAGGTAGCAAAATTCAGAGTAAGACTTGGTCAACACTGGGGTGATTATGTCATTACATACCAGCTCTCCTGGCCTGCCTGGCCTGCCCTCACACACTGACACTGCCTCCCAAATGTGACCCCCAGCAAGGCTACCGCTCCCCTCCCAAAGGTTAACAAGCCCCAATCCCCCCTCCCGCCAGACAGCCAGGAGAAGGAGCGAACAAGCTGTGAGGCAGCAGACGTTTCCCCCAGTTTATCAGGAGAAGTAGTGGCTTTACTGGCCTGTCACCGCGGCACGACCTGACGATTAACAGGAGCAGCGGTCAATAACTCATCCAAACTCCAGGAGCTGGGAGTGTAAACACACAGATCCTCAGGGTGACGCCCCAGGGGGAGTAAGGGAACAGGGGGACGTGCAGTCACAACCACGTTACGAACATTAATGAAGGTGTTTATAACACACTCACAACACACAAACACAGATTCTAAATAATCCATTACGGGGTCCATTACGATGACTGGGCGGGCTTTGGAAACTGGGACTGGCTGGAAACATTTACACAGCAGCACTTAAAAACGAAGAAATGGCATTTAAACAGTCCCCTGGTGGATATAAAGGCTCATCACTGCCCCAATCAAAAAAAAAAAAAAAAAACCACGCATTGACATTCTGTGTAAATCTGCGAGTATCTGGCTGAAACACATTTACCACTAACTTCTCACTAATCTTTTTGCTAGTTTGGCAGCCAGTGCATCAGAAGACACGGGGAAAATGGGCACATTGAATAGAATAGAACAGAATAGAATGTTTTTTATTAACATTGCATGAATGTACAACAAAATTGGGTGTGTCCCCTGAAACAGATTCAACACAGCACTACCATAGCTCTGCATATTAAGCTACACACACATACAAAGTAAAATCATGAACAATACGGGCCAGTAAACTTTGTGTGTTTCTGTGTGCATACAGTATGTATGTACAAGGTGGGAGTATGTAAATGGTATTTAAGTCGTTCTATTTACAATAATCGCAATGAGTCCCTGGGATATTGCACTTATGTCTCATTGATGCCCTGGGTGACGGTGAAGGACATGAGAGAGGGCGGGGAGGGGACACTTAAGACTTTGATGCAATGAACAGTTATTTCTTTGATAATTCGGACAGTTCAGTTCTTTGATAGTGTTCAGGTAGCAGCTTTTTAGTAGTCTGGAAGTGCGCGTCCTCATAGATCTGTGACGTCTGCCAGAGGGCAGCAGAGTGCAGAGGTGGTGGCCTGGGTGAAATGGGTCCCTGATGATTCTCGTAGCGTCGAAGACATCGGGGTCGGTACATGTCCTCTAGTGAAGGTAGAGCTGGGTGTTGGTCATTTTGTTTTGTGCTGATTTGATCACTCCCTGGAAGGGCCTTCATGTCAGCTAGCAGACCATAGCAGGATGCCACTGGTGAGTTTGCTTTCCACAGAGCAGCGATAGCAGGACACCAGCATCAGCAGCTGCTTGGACAGGTCAGCCTTCCTCCGTGTCCGTAAGAGGCAGAGTCGCCCGCTTCTGTGCCTTCTTCACCAGAGAGGTCGTGTTGAGAGACCAGGTGAGGTCCTGGGAGATGTACAGTATGTGCCGAGGGATTTAAAGCTGGCCACTCTCTCCACTATGTCTCCTCCGGTGTATAGAGGAGCAGGTTCCTCTTCCTGCTTCCTGAAGCTGATAATCAGCTTCTTCGTTTTGGATGTGTTGAGTGCCAGGCTGTTGATGCGGCACCATTCTGTCAGTTTGCTGACCTCGTCCCTGTAGGCAGACTCCTCACCATTGCATATCAGTCCTACCACAGTGGTGTCATCAGCAAACTTGATGATTTTATTTGTGCTGTGTGTCAGTACACAATCGTTGGTATACATTGGGAATAAAGAAGAGGGCTCAGTATGCAGTCCTATGGATCACCGGTGCCGAGGGTCAGGGGTGAGGCGTGGTGAGTCCCCAGCCTAACAGTCTGTGTTCAGGTTGTTAGGAAGTCCTGGATCCATCTGCATGTGTGCTGACTGACACCCAGGTTGAGCGTTTTGGTCACCATTTTGCTGGGGATGATCGTGTTAAGTCCACAAATACATGCCCTGGTGATCCAGGTAAATCAGCACATTATGGAGAGCTGTGTTGATGGCATCTTCTGTTGACCTGCTGGCTCTGTAGGCGAACTGGTGCTGGTCCAGGGTGCATCCACCCCCAAACTGTTTCCGGCAGCAAACTCTTCCCCCTCGTCGCACATTAGTGGATTTTCTGGTATATATGGAAACAAGGCATCGCTTGGGATATTTATTAGCCCATATTAAACGAATCTCTGATGAGTCCCCACCATAAATGGAAAGATCAAAGGCAGGGTGCCTCTTTATCACTAGAAAAGCGGGCAAATTCATGCTAAGCCCCCCCAGCAAAGGCGCATTGGCCCAGAGCTGTCTGCGAACACCAGATATGCACATGATTGGAGGGGTAGGGATGGGGTTAGGCTTTGGAGGGGGGGGGGGTGGGCTGTGCAGAGAGGCCTCAGTACAACATTCCTCACTCTTTGGACACTCAGGTCCAAGCTTGCATTTGTGTGGCTCAGTGGGTTAGGATGCTGTACCTGAGATTGGAAAGTTGCTAGTTGAAATCCCAGGATCAGCAGAGTGTTTCACTGTGGGGCCCTTGAATGAGGCCCTTAACTCCTAAACTGTTTGGGGGACTTTCTGGCCCCGCTTTCTCAAAAACGTACGTTGCTTTGGATTAGACCCGCTACGTAAATAAAATGCAGTTGGTACATGAGCATCTCAGACAGTCTGCTACACACTACTACTAACAGGATAGAAGATAGTAGAGAGATTGTATAGTCATTTCACTGAAGGAAGCCCCTTTGCCCAGAGTGACCAACAGCATAGTGCCCTCTACTGGTGGAAAGCATGGCGCATACAGATTCTGTCTGGGAGTAGAGGCACAGAAAAATGCTGCTTATTTTGAGTGGGAACATTCTGACAGACACCCACGCAGAGCCTGTGCGTGGCTTTACACTCTAGTTTTTATATAGACTGCTGCAAAAAAGATGCGTTGTTATTGCATATCACCAAACGTGTTGGGCGAGAACTGGAACAAGCAAGTTCCATTCAGGCGAAGATGGACGGTGTCCATGGAAGCGAACCAAACAAATGAGGACCGGCCGGGACACGCACACGCAATGGCAGTCCCAGCTGAGTATAAAGAAGACTGAAGTAGGTCACGCACACCCACGACATCACTGAATCCTAAACGCCTCCTGCATTATTTTGTGGGAAGCAAAGAAGCAGAAAATAGCCACCTGCAGTACTGTTTCTGAGCTGAAGGGGCACTGCGGGGAACCAGTGAGTCCATTAACATCTGCCTTCCATTTGCAAAATGAGATGTCAGGCCGTCACGATGCATATAAGAGACCAGCAGGTGACAGTGACTAAGCAGCACATTTTACATTGCACCCATGAGGAAGGTATGTAATCTCTGTAACGTCTGCAGCAAAAAAAAGAACATTTTATTTTGTGGTTTTACAGAATGAAATTAAAAGTGACATAAAAGTTTTGTTAAGCTCAGGGTGACAGTAAATTTTGCAAAGATGTTGACAGACTTCAGGCTCGGCTTAGATGCCGGTCGTCTGCATTGGACAT